GTTGGCTGTCAGAGTCAGTCAGGCACCCACAGAGATTCCAGGATGGTGTTTGCTGGCTTCCTGGCAGGACTCTGATTCTGGCAGTAGAAGGGACTGTTGTCCAGTCTCCTGCCCACACTGCTGTGAACCTTCTGCCTGTACTGCCACTCCAACACTAGCTTCAGCCAGGCAATGTGTGAAAGGCTAGGACTGTGAGAGCCTTGGAAGTAGGCAGAAGAAAAGGAACTTGCCAGCTGCTTTTACAAGCACATCTCAAAAGCCTTCAGGGAACACTTTTAGGCTTAAGCTTCTTCTGGCTTTCTCACCTGGATCAGTGTTGTCACCCTGCCCTCCAAGCTTCTGCCTACCAGCTTGTCCTCTCTTCTCGCCGTGGGGTTGCAGTACTGGTATCAAACAGGGGCTTTGGCATTTTCCCTTCCTGCAAGAATGCTGTCCTTACTACAGCAGCTTGGAGGGGAACCAAGGTTTCCTGGTGTTGGTGTCCATGTGTGCATTTCGGGTTACATGGATAAGACAGCGATCATTACATAATTCTTCCCTGTTATATCTGCTCCCCACCTTCCTGCCCATCCCAAGACATTCTCCGCATTCTTCATCCTTGAATGGGTCTGCACAGACTTCAAACAAGGGATTGAAGACGAAACAAGAACTTGGCATGAATAAATAATTTCTCCTTTACTAAGACCTGCTCTGCAGAGGGATCCAGCAGGCCTCGGAGATTGGAACTGTGCTCCTCCTCTGTCATCTCTTGTACCAGACTGTTCAGCTGTTCATAAAAATGGCAATTTTTATGCACGATCAGCTTCACGTATACTATGAACTCTCCTCTGATTCTTTGGCCTGTAATAGTCCACTGAATACTCAAGCGGGTACAAATGCTCCCTTGCTTTTTTATCTGACACAGTGCCCTACCTGGAGGATTACACGTGACCGAGCCTCATCTGTGGTGTGCTTAACGGAGTGATACCTATAAGGCTTCTGTCATCCTTTTGGGTCAGAAGCAAGAGAGACGTGCTGGGAAACAAGTGTAAATCTCCCTATTCAGGGATTAAACCACGCTGCCTCCTTAACTTTTGGGGATAGAACAGAACGGTGCCTTCCAACTCTGTCTCATTCGTTCACTGGAAAGCTGGTGCCTGTGGAAGCCAGAGCTGAGCAAAGAAGCACTCAAAATTCTTATCGTGTCTCTGGTTATTTTGGATCGTCCTTGTGCTTGTTGTTCCAAGCAGTTATTTGTGGCAGAGGCTCCTGTATTCTGTCTTGTTCACTCGTTTGTGACCTTTTCGAGAAGGACAGTACTTTTTTATAGAGTTGCTACCAGAATTAGGCAAGACTCAGAGCAGGATGGTGGGGTTCAGTTATTTGAGGGAGGGGGGGAATCCTGGTAGAAGAGACCCCCTGTTTTGGTATGTGAAGTAAGAAATCCAAAGGGTAATTCTCCACTTTAAATTACACACTATGATAATGTGCTGCTTTTCATGGTAGTATCATATCATAATCTGTCTACTGCCCGGCTGTCAAACATCCTGAGTACGATTACTATAATTACTACTAATAGTTTCTGCAATAGGCTATGAGGAGGATTGACTTGTTTTAGAAGCGGAAGAATGACATATTGATCTCAATGTTAATTATTTCGTTTCATTTTTTTTCTGGAAGGAAAGAAAGAATCTGGATGTGGGAACTCTGAGAAGGATAAAAGTATTTGGAGTTTCTGGTGTGGATCTTGGATACGCTCTTCCCTGGGGAGATAAAACTTACTCAGGGCTTCAGTAATAGTAACTTCGTGCCCCTGCCTTATCCAATCACTGATGATACTCAGAGGAACATGCACACATACAGAGGATCTTGCATGAATATTTCTGGCACTCCTCCTTTTTTGGACATGCTGGGTGCTGAGTTATTTTGAGTGAATTCCTGTTTATTTTTACCATCTCTCTCTTCCCCCCTCTCCCCCCCACTCTTTCTTCCAGTCGTCCACATGGCCTAGCTTTCCTGCTGCTAACTATCCTCTTCCCTAACCCTGATCTATAGTGTGAGGATGAAGTAGAAATTCCTTGCAGAAAATGCTTCAAGAACTCCAGGATTGGCTGGAGGTAGGGACTTCCTTCTCCAACCAATCAGGAAAAGCAAAACGCCCACAGCTCAGGCAGTCATAAAAGGCAATAAAGAGGGACAAGGAAACAGTGTAATCCAACAGCTATGTAGTAGGGTCCCTTACAATGCAACGGCCAAATCCGTACTTTCTCCAGGTATGCAGTTGTGTGGAGAGCTAAGTCCATCTGAAAGGATTTAAAAAAAAAATACCATGGATCAAATAGTTGAGTTTGCATGTAACCATTTCTAATTAAATAGGAAATTCAGTGTATTTCCAAGATAAGGTCAATTTCCTTCATACCGAGTTGGATTCTAGATGATGACTTCATGGACTTTTTTAGCAGTAAAGCCAAAATGACTTATTGTAGCCTTCCTTTGGATGCTCTTTAATTACTCTGCAGTTTTGAGTTTTCTTGGTGGTTCGATCCAAGTACTGATTAGCCCAGATCCTGCTCAGTCTCTTTTAGATCACCCAAAGCCTGCTAGCTGCTGCCTCCTGCAGTGATGCTTTCAAAATACCCATTTATTAATTCTGTTTATCCAGCCTTGCCCTTAACATGCATTTTTCTTCTGTTATTTGATATCCACACCTTGTCATGCATTTCTGAGCAGAAGGTATATTTTTGGGGCGCCTTTCGGTCTCTAACTCTGCTCCCATGAGCGAGCAGAGAAGAATTCATGATAGCCATTGTAGGTACAGGAGAAAATCCTTTAGAAATTATAAAGTCTACTTGCATGGAATTGCCAGCTAATGGTTATTGACTATCCTTTGTTAACATTGTTAACTGTCAGATAGGATTGTCTGATCTTTCCTCGCTAGACCGTCTGGGGTTTAACAAACAACATTTAATGTGCTTGAAAACTCTGCCAAATCCAGACTGGGAATTGGAGCAGAGAGAAAAAATGCAATTTGATGGTAGAAAGTCATTTGAGGGTGGGTAGCTGGAGCTGGCCGAAACTGGAGATGCAGTGAGAAAGGAGAGGACAACTTTCTCTAGTAGCTGCTGGAGTCCTCAAGACAAATGAGAGTATGGAAGTCTTCATAATATCAAAGGAAAGAAGGACAAAAGGAAAGCAAAAAGGGAGGAAGGGAAGATAAGGAAGGAAGGAAGGCAGAGAAAAGCAACAAAGATGATTAGGAGGTTGGAGGCTATAACATATGTAGAATGGTTGCAGGAATTGGGAATGTCTAGACTAGTGAAAAGAAGGCCTAGAGGCAATATGATAGCAGTGTTCCAGTATTTGAGGGGCTGCCAAAGAGAAAAGGGGGTCAACCTATTTTCCAAAGCAGCTGAAGGCAGGACAAGAAGAAATGGATGGAAACTAATCAAGGAGAGAAGCAACCTACAACTCAGGAGAAATTTCAATAAACTAGTGGAACAGAAGTTGCCTTCAGAAGTTGTAGGTGCTTCATCACTGGAGGCTTTTAAAAAGAGACTGGACGTCCATTTGTCTGAAATGGTATAGGGTCTCCTGCTTGAGCAGGGGGTTGGACTAGAAGACCTTCAAGGTCCCTTCCAACTCGGTTACTATAAATCAAATGGGAAGAGGAAAGGAAGGAAAGGGAGGAAAAGAAGAAAGGAGATGGAGGAAAGGAAAGAAAGAAAGAGAGAAAAGAAAGAAAGAAAGAGAGAGAAAAGAAAGAAAAAGAAAGAAAGAAAGAAAGAAAGAGGTGTGCGTAAGAGATGCATATAATACACCCACATACATAATATAGTCATATGTTCTCCATGACCAAATTCTAAATACAAACTGATTTAATAGCCATTCTGAATTCCCAGCAAATGAAATATAGTTGAAACAAAGTTTAACATGCTCTAAGGATTTTCAGCACATCATCAAATAGACTTTAGAGCAGGCGCCTCCAATCCCCGGTCCATGGACTGCACTGGTCTGCAGCCAGCGAACCCGGGCCATGCAAGCAAGCGAAGCCCCATCCGCAAGATGCAGGCAGCATGTGAAAACGGGGCCCCCTCTGGTCTGCAGCAAAACCTCTCTCCATGGAACTGGTCCCTGGTGCCCAAAAGGTTGGGGGGGGGGGGCGCGTTGCTTTAGAGAATTTCTGGGAAAGGCTAACCCCATCTCCTCTCCTTGAAGCTCCAGTTTGTAGGGGCAATCAGTGATGCCTTCTTCCAAATAGATTGCTGATGATAGAAGAAATTGTGCAGGATAGCTTTTTATAATGGGGCATGTCGTTGGATGAGGTGTATACTTCTGTTAATTCTTGAAGTCCACCTGTTTTTTTTTAAAGGGGGAATGGACATTAGTTGAACGGTTCTCCTGAATTTAATAGAACAGTTCCAATCTCCAGCCAAGTTCCAAAGGCTTTATGCAGCTGGCCTACATCTTCATGTAACTGTATCACTGCTCTGATTCAGCTTTCATCCTCTCTGGAGAAGACAATAAAACCCCGTAAATGATCTTCTGCAATCTGGTCCCCTCTAGGGATATTGGTACTACAATTCGCAGGGTTGTAGGAAACTCCATTTGGATGGTATCAACTGGGGAAAAATATGGTTTAAACAGCCCTGGAAAAGAACATTGTATTCAGGAGTTATTTATATTTCTGTTCTGCAATCGGTCTTTGAAATGTAAGCAGGATATTGGTTTCCCCGTGTCCCTAAAGCCCCCCTGTCCCTAAAGCTATTCCCTCCACAACATACCACACACAGAGAGACTCTGCTTGCATTACTGCTGGAACTCTGACAGAAGAACCAGGACAGCTTCCCCTGTATCTCATTTTCCTTCTCACCGAGGAAGAAAGGGACACAGGCAAACCAGGTGCCACCCAGTGTGTTCCCCAATAAGATTCTGCTGGGAGACTCAAGGCAGAGCTGTTCAGCTGGCCTTGGAGGAGAAGATATATGTTAGAAGCAGCAGCGTGTCTTGTTAAACTGGCGAAGATGACTCTCCATATCCTCTTCCGCAAAACAGTTGGTGAGGTCTGTGGTGGGACTCCATTGATATCACAAGGTGATGTCACTTAGCCTGGAATCCACCCCAATGGACTTGGAGGGATTGAATCTGAGGCTTTGGTGAAACCTAATCTGTTCCTCTTGTCTTCTTCTTTTTTGGACAAAAGCCATTTTTAGTCTGTCCAACAACATAGCTCAGCTTTAAAGGAATCTCAAGCCCACTTCTGCTTCCTCCCGATCTATGAAGACTCTACTATTCCGTTGATAAGCTCTTCTTAAGCACTCAGGCCTGCTTTTACCTCAGATGTAAGCTTTTGGAGATGGCCTTTGCTCAGGAGAATTTGTGGAAACATTTCACGTCTCTCTGCTTTGTTTTTCCAGCAAGAACATATTGAATGGGGAATTTGTTGAGCTTGTCTTGTCAGTGCTATGAGAAAACTTGATCAAGAAACCAACTCCTCAGGAAGATCTATTTATATTTGATTGAGATAAGCTGTAGTAACAGAATTTTGTGTCTGCTTGATTTACCTTTCCTCCCTCTTGCATCTTACCATACCCCATTAGGCCATTGTTTTGGAGATATTTCCTTACCTAAACAGGATGATTAAAGGCAAAAAAGTGAAAAGGGAGTGAAAGCAACATCTAACTTCTGGCTGGGTTCCTTTCTCTTCCTTTCCCTTCCCTCCCCTTCCCAGCAATCAGGTAAGTGGCTGCTGCTGGGTGGGGGAGGGAGGTAGGGATTGTTAGACTGGCTGGGAAACTGTCATGGAACATTGTAAATGAAGATCACATGACCATAGCAGAAGCACAGCAGCAGCCAGTAATTGAAGCAGCCATAACTTTCTCAAATTTCATTATCTCAGGAGTCACGGGTCCTGGATTTTAGGCCATTTGAGGTACCTTAGTTCAACAATTGTTGCCTGTCATGCACTTGTTTTCACCTAGTTAAAGGTCATGATAAGGAGAATTTTAGTAGCATATAAATTGAATCAGGGAGGAGCCAGCTGGAATCTCTTTCTAATACTATCTTCTTTCCCAGGGTTTCCTTCTGCTGCTGTTGTTTTTATAATGGCTTCTGAATATTTTCCTACAAGTCCATGTCTCTGCACATCTGGATTTTTCCTTCCTTTGCTTTTTAGCTGAGGTTTAACTAGTGTTCTGAATTTTGTCTAGTGTGAAATATAACTGGAATTCGCTGGTTGAAAAGCTACCTGATAAACTTAATTCCATCTTAACTTTTTCTATTTTAAAAAAGAGGTGATTCTTTCTCCATCAGCATGAGACACATAAGAAACAGAGAAAACCACCTACTGGGAAATCAGTTTGTCAGAGTCTGTGAAAAGGGGAGAATCGTGTTCCTTTGTGAAGAAATTGGCAGCCAGACACTTTCCATTAAATTCTTGTAACTTCATTGTCATGACTTCTAGCAATTTCCTCTCTTCCAGGAAATCAGTATTTTAGTTAAACATTTGTTTTTGTTTCCCTTTGGTTAATTGTCTGCACTCTGAAAGCATATTTAATATTGGATATTTCTGTGTCTTTGAAATTCCTCATTTTGCTTTGAATTTTCCTGAAGGTGTGACTTGCTTGTTGTATCTCTTGGTTTGATGTCATGTGAGAAAGTTAGGCCAGTTTTTCCACCTGTTCTTTGAATGTTATTCTTAACTAGCCATCCAGATTTAAGAGTGTTCTTGCAGAACAGGGCGATTCTTGATTGTCCCAATAGTGGTTTTTGCAAGCAGAGTTATCTTTTACAGATGAGAAGGGAAGTTGGGATATATTGTGTGTTTAGGGTTATTGAATTGATTCAGGATTGAGGTGGGCTTTGTAGGGAGATTTCTCCGTTTATATTTTATCCAAAAGCTTGTGCAAAAACTACCATCTGTGCGAAAGAGAGAACTCTTGGTCCCTGGATAACACCTGCTAGCTTGTGAAAGGCAATATGTCAGAAAGGGGAGGGAGAGCGACAAAAAAAAAAAAGGTTTGGCTCAGAATCTTATCTAAGTTTGCAAACCATTGATAATAAAATATATTTAAAAAACCAGCTACAACTTCTTCTGTTCACTTGCCTCTATTGTGAATGGTCAATTTAGCCAGCAGCACTATAGAGGGTTGGGTGGGGAAGAGAGTTCTGTGGGTTTGCTCTTTTCACAGAGAACAAGTTTGAGATTTTTCTGAGATTTGTGGGCACTTCTGTGTGGTACGTGCATAATTGTGCAAGGAAAGCTACAGCTGGTTTTATTGTTTCTCCTCTTGGGATTTCTGCAAAACTCCTGTAATTCTAGAGATATCTGCATATTCTCTAAAATGTGCATGAAATAAGGACTAGAGAGATTTTGTTTCAGATCTCAGAATCTAAAGATCTCTATTCCTATATCACCTGCTGTTGAGCAATAATGCTTCTTATGAAGATTGGACTGCCATTTGTCAGAAA